TAGGGAAAATTTGGCCATTGTCCAAAATTGGCCCCAGCATGTGAAATGTTTTGCACTTGGATGTGCTGTGGTTGGGTTTAAGCGTTGAGCATCTCCTTTTGGGGTAGGAGAGACCTTCGGTGGTGTCCCGAGGTCCTTTCAACCCTTTGGAAGTGTGAGATTGGTGCAGAAAGCTGGCTTAGCAGCGTGGTGTGTTTGTTGAAGGAGTAGAGGGAAAGCCATCGTCTTTGTTGGTGTGTCAGTTCTGTGAGACGAGTTGTTCTTGGTTTGATTTGCTCTGGGAAACTGTTGGAAGAAGCTCTATAGTGGGATCTTAGCTGGGGCCACCGAGCACGCCTAGCAGTCATAGATAAAAACCGAATTATTTTCTGCAGCAAAGAGGATGACAAGACATTTTTGAGATGTGTGTAATATCTTCCCCCCGCCCCGAGGAAATCAGAAAGAAAAAAAAAAAAAAATTAAAAATCAGAGCCCAGGGTAAAACATCAGTCATGAAGAATGTTTTGTGTGAGAGGAGGTGTAATGTGAATCTGAAAAGTTCTGGTGTGTGAATACTGCTGGGAGGTTGAGTGCCTGCGATGGTGTGATGAAATTATTTGAAATTGTTCTAGCAGGAGAGCTGAAGGGGTGTTTTTCTGCTGTTGCTTGCAGGCCGTTTGCGGGCTGCAAGGTGGCCACAGAGCTTGTTTGAGTGATGGAGTTTTATTTCAACTCTCCCTTGTTCAAGATTGCCAGGCTGGCAGAACATTGCTCATCACCGAGCAGTAACCAGTCCCTGTTTTATCTTTTTCTTACAAGTTGAGAAGGTTGTGGGGGCTCCAGTCACTTGGTACTGGTGAATATTTTCCAAATGGGGAAGGAACACAAGGTGCACGTGGTGATCAGAGCACCTGGAGGGACATCATCTTGACTACCAATGGTTTGCAGCCCAGGTTTGAAGGGGAAGTGATTTATTTCAAGCAGAGGTTTTGTTTTCTCTGACTTTGTCACTTAACGATAAGCACAGTCCAGGGGATGCTTCGTGGCTCTTTGCATTCGGCTCACGGCAACACTAGACAGCTTTCCAGCTGGCTGGCTGCTTCGGAAGGAGGGCTTTTCCTGGAGAGCTTGATACTGGTCTGCCAAATGCTTTCCAACATAACGCCATAAAGAAAAAAGGAAAGGAAAAAAAAAAAGTTTTCAAAAAATAGTAGAATAAGATGGGACCAGTCCTCTTATGGGTTTATTACTGGTTAGAAGATAGGAAATAGTGGTGAGAATGTCAATCCCCCAGAAATCTGTGTATTCACTGGAACGTTGCAGTGCGGGGAGGGGCTGTAAGTAAATGTCCTTTGCTTGATGGTATTAAATATATTTGGGGTCATCAAAGCAAAAGCTGCCTGCAAAGAAATACAGAAACGAGGAACTAAATGTAATAGTGAGGTAGCACATTAAAGTCAGTGGTGGATGCAAAATAATGCCTGTGGGCAGGAGGGACACTGGCCTGGAGCAGGTGAAAACTGAATGATTGCTGTTCATTATAATTAAAGATCTGAGGGTGTCAGATAAAATTGTGTCTGGAAAGCTTGAAACCAAGGTCTTTTTCTGCAAATAATTAAACAGGGCAATTCCCTTCCTTAGGGGATGTTATGTTGATTAAAATAGATGGGTCTGAAAGGCGATGCAGAGCAATTTATGAGGGAGAAGCTCATGAAGAGCTGTTAAGCTCCAAGAAGAAGGATGAAGTCTAGAGCTTGGGCAGCCGTGAGTTGTTCTTACAGCAAGCAAGACAAAGAGCGAAGGAGCAGGAAAAAGTTCAGAGCCAATCACGTCATCACATAATAGCTTCCAACCTCTCTTTAAAAACTAAGTTGCAGTGTCTTGAAATCAACGAGAGAGAGGGTAATTTTGTTCCTCGGTGCTTGGAAACTCTTGTTGATTTTTATTTTTCTTCCCTCATTGCTTTGCTTTATATGAAGAAGCCGTCGCATCTCTGTAGCTGACGCTAACAAACCTCCTCCCGTCTGCAGATGTCTGATTGCAGCGGGAGAGGAAGAAAGCACAGAAGCACTTATATCAACAGATGTGAGCTCTGATTTAAACAACGGTAATTTATTCCTGCTCATATTCAGCAGCATCTGCAAGTGCAGTATGCAGTATTTTCACTCAGGACGTTGCCTTCACTTCTTTGCAGCACACGTTCTTTTTTTAATGTATGACTTCCATGCACCAGAGCATTACATAATCCGGGATAATTAGAAGGAGATTTTGGAGAAAGGAATTTGAGCTTTGAAAATCTGCAAAATAGTTCCAGCGTACTTACGTCCAAATTCTTCAAAACACTCAAAGACTTGATCTTATGATAGCTAATAACTTTATTTTCTTTTTCTGTTCACAGTCTCAAAATATCTGAAGATCTAGGGCTTGAAAAAATGTTCTTAATGTTTTTTGATCTCTTCCAGAATATTGCATTCTGGGTTTTGGCTGTAAGGTCTTGATTAGAGTGTCTAAAAATCTTTACCTGTGCAAGCAAAAGTACATTATCACAGAGCCGAGACAAAGAAAAGGATTTCCGTGGAATGTAAATGAGAAGAGACCAATTAGCAAGTGTTAGAAGAACAAAATGCGAGCACGGTTATTTAATCGGTGCTTTAGAGCAGTCGGAGACGCGGTTCGGTAAAGAACTCGCTGGCAGCACAGACGGTGGGTGCTGCCGGTGCCTGGGCGTGATGATGAGCAGTGATGAAGGAAGAGCAGAACTCCTTCGCTCCCCTCTGCTCTGCAGAGCCTGGAGCTGCTGTGCAACTTGTTTCTGCCTGTCCCTGTCTTGAATTTCTTATCTGCATAGCTCTTCAGCTCAAGAAAGTATTACAATAATGAAACCTTTATAAGAGCCTCTTCATTTTGTTTTTAAATAGCCACACGTTAGTATATAGGGTAGTATAGAGCGTGAGTGGGGACTTCATCATGTATATTAATAAAAATTTCAAGTTTATAAGGAAGGAAAAACTCTCTCAGCTTCATCCTGAAACATCTTAGACACTCCTCATAGAAGAGAGCCTACGTCAAAGTGTTGACCCTTCCTCTTCTGCATTCCCTCCACATTTTCTAACACATGCTGCAAAGGTGAAGAGCCTGCAGCAGGTCCCAGGCGCTGAAGCCCCTCTCCCCACCTCGAAAGGAGCCCTCTCCTCCAGAAACAGCAGCTTCTGCACTGGGATGAGCAAGGCACTAATATGTGCTGAGCAGCACAATCCCTCCTCATCCACCAGTGGCCGATGGAGAAGACTCATTGTCTCTGACACACTCGTATCCTCCAGCTCGGGAGGCAAAAAGAGAAATAGACGCTGTTGGATCAACACAAGGGAAGAAATAATGCTTCCTCCCTCCGTAAAGTCCTTCCAGATGGTAAGGCTTGATGTGTTGTCCCAGCAACAACTCCTGTGATGGCAGCTACATCAAAGAGCTCCAAGGCAGGGAAAGCCAAACAGCGTCTCCCCTGTAATGAACTTCAGAATTTAGGAATGATGGAGGGGTCAACAGCAGCCCATGCACCAAACAGCAGCAGCTTCAGAGCCGGGGAGTGGTCCAGCTCAGGGCCACATTAATAATGTTTTCCAGCACGGCAGAACCTACACCCCCCTGCCGCGGGGCGCTGATGGCTTCGGTGGGACTGTTCAAACACTTCCAGTCGCCCAGATGATGAAGTGCTGCCTTGGAGTAGGGCCCAGTGGGCTCCAGACATGCGTTGCAGGGAAGGTGGCTGGGGGTTAAAGCCTTATCTTGGAGATGTTTGCACGCAGGATGGGGTGGTGGAGAGCTTGTGGGTGGCAGTGGACATCTCTGGATCCTCCTCCTTCTGGGGAGCTAGGCAGGGGCATGGCAGAGTCCTTGAGATCAGCTTCTCAATCACAGGTGGAATGCTTTTTTTCTAAGTGCTTAATTTCTTTCTGCAGAAATAACAATTCTTTAAAACCATTCTGTCTTGACCTTCTCGTTCTTCTTGAAGTGCTGCCAACACCAGTCCAAGTTCTGCAGGCATCAGAGAGCCTGAAGGTGCCGGCGTTGGGCTCAGGCACTGGGGACTTTTGCGGCTGGCACGAACAGATGTCTGAGGAGATCTGAGGGTCTGTTGATCCCTTAGGTAAAGCTGTGCTTAGGACATGTGAATTTGGGTTTTTTTGTATTTCCATTCCTCTGGTGCCTGATGGTGAATGAACATGGCCCCCAGCAATTCTGCATCCATGGAAGGGGACTGGTACTTGCTGTGGCAGGGCAGAGAGGGAAGCTCCTTGCTGCTGGTGTCCTGCAGCGTTTTCTTTGAAGACCAAGAAAGATGGGTTAGCTATGTTCAAGGTGGGTTGGATGTGAGCAAAGATGGGTTAGATACGTGCAACGATGGGTTGGATACGCTCAGTCCAGACTGCGCGATGCCGTTGTATGTCACTTGAGCAGAGCGAGGCCAGGAGCACTGGGGCTGGTTGGCTCTTAGCAAAAGGCAAGTAGATGTTTTCTGTTGTTTAAACCAGGAGTGTCTCCTGCTTGGAGATGCTGGGGGGAGAGGATCCGAGGATGAAGATTGCTGGATCCCATGAGTGAATGTCACGGTGTCATCCTGACTGCGAAGCAGGTTGACCATCTCATCAGGTTTTTACAGGTGGACCCAAAGATGGACCCTTGCAGAGCACTGATGTGGCTGGTTAGTGAGGAGGAGAACCAGCTTGATCTTCTTCCTACCTTGCTAAGGGCTTTTGGAGGGACATGGTCAGATCAGTCCCATCTCCAGCACACGTGCAGTGCAGATGCAGGACTCCTGGAGATGTCCTGCAGAACTGACAACCCATCATACTTCTCTTTCCATGTTACTGCCCAAATTTATGGGGGTCCAGGAGCCCTTGTACCACAAATAGTCACTGTAGGGTTTTTCCATTGATGTGGTGGCTTTCCCTGGAGTCTGAGACAGCGCATGTCTTGGCAGAATTACCGTACAGACATGGCTTTTTGGTATTCTCCAAATGCTTTCTCGGTTTACCGTGACTTCGGAAGCATCCTCAGGGTGGATGCTGCCAGAAGCCGTCCCTGATAACGGGCCTGGGATGATGTCCATGCCTTCAGCACAGCCACGAAAGAGGTGGATCCATCTCGTGTGGGGCAACTTGCATCTCCCCGCAGCTCAGTGAGCAGCCCGGATGCCAGACAAAACAAATAATCTCTTTCTTTCCTTCGCCTTTGCCATTGTTTCCATAAATACGCTCAGCGCGGAGTAAAATGTGAAAAATAGCTGGTGATCCTTCACATGGAGAGTTACATTGATCTCGTGATGTTCCCAGGCAGCCGACACGGCCTGACATGGGACAGTCCCAGCAGTCTGGTTTTTGCAAAGGCAAGAAGCAAACAAGCTTGGCTTTCATCGCTGCGTGCAAGACAGCCGGGGGTGCAGCGGAGGAGATCCAGAGCTTCAGCCTGGAAACAGCCCCCCGGGAGCCATCCTTCCCCCACTGCTCTCTGCAGAGTCGCCAACTGAATGGCAGTTAAAAAAAAAAAAAAAAAAAAAAAAGGAACAGGCACTTCATTGGGTGTCTGCAAGCTAATCTTGTCTTTGTATGGTTTTGGGGATGAACGTGGTAAAAGCCAACGCTTCTCACTTTTTGTTGAAATGAGGACGTGATCGGTATAATAGTGCCATGGGGATGTCTGCAGAGTGCCGTGTCTTTGGCCTGTTTGCACATTTTCAGGGGGAAAATACAGAGGGTGGTGGGTCCTGTCGAATATTTAGCGTTGAAGGCGATGTCTGTAGTTAGCAGCTAGATGTTGAAGGTCTGTTGTCAGCTTTGATGAGACGGGGTTGATCTTATGGTTCCCTAGGGAAGCTGCTGTCAGCGTAACCTCACCCTGGCAGTCCTGGGCAGGCAGCTTTTAAATGGCCATCATTAAACAGCCTCCTTTATTGGGATTTGATTTTTTTTTTAAAATTTTTATTTTATAGAATCATCTAATGGTTTTGTAAACCACCTTATTTCATCTGGGATCAATTTCCTCCAGCAATTAAGGAGAAATACTGATACCATGGTGTTGGTTTGAGTATTGGTAGGAGACAGCTGCAGATTTACAGTGCTTGAGATGCTGAGTTTGCTTCTCTGGTACGGCACGGACCCTTTAGCGTTGCAGAGCTGTTGCAAATGGTCATCTCTTGAGTGCCGTTTGGTTGGATGGACGCTCGCTAGCGGTGATGTTCCAGCCATCGGTGGGGTAATGACCATCTTCACGTGCAGGGCATCGTGGTGACAGCAGTCCCGGCACTACTGAGATCACTTCTGCAATTTCAAATTAATGTATTTAAATGGCATGCATAAATATGCATTTAATGAATAAATATTCATTTAATGCATTTCTGCATTTAATGTTTACAAAGAACTTCTTTATCAAATGTGGGTCTGTGGTTCCTGGCTGTCCTAACCGTGGTTCCTACGTGTCTCTGGTAGGTTGACAGTGACACAATTTGGAACGAAGTCCACTCGTCCGGTGCCGCTCGGCTAGCCGTGGGCTGCGTCATTGAGCTGGTTTTCAAAGTAGCCACCGGAGAGCTGAAGGTTGGTATGAAAATAACACGCGGCTTTGATAGAGGCTCGGCTCGGGGCTGTGTTGTGCAGGAGGTCCAGTTAGCTTCGTTTTAATGGCACCATCTGGCTTTAGTCATAAAAATCTTTGAGGATATCAGCAAGTGAACAACAGACTCCTGGTGAATGTTCTTACGCGCCGATTAAAAAGAAGAAAGAAACCAGAGCAGCAAGTGAAATCGCTGTTCCAGTGTTATCTGAGGGGCTTGCTCTTGCCTTCAGCTGGGCCAGCTCGTTTGCTGTTTCACTGACCTCATGCAGAGTATTTTTTTTTTCCCCTGTATGAAGGGAAATGCTGTACCAAAATTCTTGTGGACTTTCCCCCCAACTCCAAACCGAGCGAGAGCATCATCCCATGTTCTTGTGAGAAAACCATTGAGAACAACCACATAGTTCCCTAGCAGAACTAACACTTCTGGCTGCACCCCTCTTTGTGTGATAAACCTTCCTTTCTGTGGCACTTACTCGTTTTCTTCTCTTTTGTGTGTGTGTGTGTATAGAATGGATTTGCTGTTGTTCGGCCACCGGGTCACCACGCAGAAGAGAGCACACCCATGTAAGTATGTCTCTGTGCTTTGTCGGTTTGCTTCGGTCTTCGGCTGTTGCGTGATCTGCAGCTGGAAAGTAGGCAGGTAGTTTGTGCGGTTATTATTGCAGATTTCTGACTTACTGATACGCAAGAAGCGATGATATTCGTAACTCCCAGTAATTCTCTGGAAGAGGGCAAGATCCTGCTTCGTGCTTTTGGGTGGGTATTTTTTAGTGAGGAAAACAGTGCTTTGAAAAAGCGCTGATGATTTTATTTGCTTTATTCTTGGGAATTGTTTTAAATTCAATGTTGACGGCTTGTGCAGTGTGAGGAAAGCAAGGGCAGGCAGCTCATAGTAGTAACAGCACAGGTAACTGTCCTGGGGTCACAGCACTGAGTTAGGAGAGTGGCTTCACAACCCCATTGCAGCTTGTTTGGGCAAGTGTGAAACCTTCCCCGTTTGCTGAGAGATGCTGAGACACCCGTGTGGCTGGTTTGTGTCTCTGATTTCACATCCGTGCATCTTCCAGGGAAGAAAGAAGAGTGAAAGCAAAGAAGTTTCTTTCTGCTGTGTCCTATCTAGATGGTAAATGCGTTAGGACCAAGGAAACGTATACCTTACACCTGTCCTCTTCCTCTTGTCCCCCTTCTCTCATCACCTCCAGGGGTTTCTGCTATTTTAACTCCGTGGCAATCGCAGCCAAGCTGCTCCAGCAAAGACTGAACGTTAGCAAAATCCTGATTGTGGACTGGGTGAGTAAATGCCAGTTCTTACCCTTCAGGAGAGCAGCTGGAAATTCTTCAGGGTTTTTTTTTTTCCTGCAAGGGCAACCCTGGCTTTTTTTAAGTCAGTGAAAAAAATGTTGCCTGTGGTCTGTAAGCCAAAATCTGTTGTTTAAAGTGTTTTAATAAAATTTTAATATTTCTTACAGGGTCCATAGTTTTCAGTATAAAATTGTAATTAATAAGCAGTTGCTTTCTAAAACAAGCCCGTAACACAGTCTCGAGGATGGATAACTGCAAACCATGCTGGGGGTTGGTTATTTTTTTTTATGAAGGTTTTATGACCTTAACTGTTCTGACCCGCCCCAGCTTTCTTTTCAAGAGAGGGACAGGCTGGCTGGCACGGCTTGATCCTTGGTCTGGATGCTCGGTGTCCTGCCTCTGGGCCAGCACGGCCTCCACGCGAGCAGGCAGGCAGTCAAAAGCCGCCTCGAATTTGGAACAAGACAGTGAAATACTCTGCAGACAGCGGAGTTGAGAAAAAGAGCTTGTTTGGGATTTTGCTGTGGCATTGTATAGATCTACAAATCTGATTGATTTGTGTAGCTTGAAAAAATGCTCCCAGTTGATTTTTATAGATTTAAAAAATGTATTTATGTGGCTGTGAAGGCATTTGAGTTGGTGGCTATCAGGCAAGAGTTTTGATTAGATTGCCACAAACCTCCCATGGGCGAGACCCCCAAGTTAAAATGTTTGTATTTGTCATTTTGACCTATGGGGTGGGGGAACCTTTTCCTCCCTTCCCACCAATGGTTTTTCATGGCGGGAAGGGGCATTTTGAATACCCATCCTGTTACACACTGCGTTTCTGCACCGAGTGGCAATGCAACAGGGGAGCTGGGCAACACGTTGGTGTCGTTTCACCTTGTTGGGTCCAACACAACTTTGCTGGGCCCTGGTCTCAGTGGTCCCCCCCAGCCCAATTAAAGATGCAGATTTGGAGCAACTAATCTAGTCTCTTCATCCTCCAAGACTGGGAATGAACCCAGTTGTCTCCATCCAAGTAAATGGATCCTGTCCTTGGTTTTGATGTACGCTGGGGATTGTGTTTCCCCCCCCATTTATCCTGTTTGTTGAATGAGGACTGTAACCCAAAGCCAGCTGTGCAGAGCAGGTTCCTCTCTTTCACAATAAACTGCTTCAGCTGGAGCAGGGAAGAGCAGAAAACAAAGCACCACAGCAAAGAAAACCCCTCCGAGTGCCGAGTTGATGCCTTTAATCTGCATTTTTACTAAGGTACTAACCTCCCTCATCTAACACAATCTCTCTCCCCGAAGGATGTTCACCACGGGAATGGTACTCAGCAAGCTTTTTACAACGATCCGAACGTTCTTTATATTTCACTACATCGCTATGATGATGGGAACTTCTTTCCAGGCAGCGGTGCGCCTGACGAGGTAAGAGCATGGGTCGGCACAGCATCCGTCCGTGTCTGCTAGGACCTGCTTGGGGCTGGGATTCAGGTGCTCACCCAAAATATCAAGGTGTGGGGGGTGTCTGCCTCCCACGTTTGTACTTCTTAGTGCTCTTTTGGGAACGCACCGCCTGAGTTTGTGCAGTCGGTGCCTTCTCATCCAAGCCCTAACAGCCGCGGGCATCGTGTCCTGCCCCGTGAGCTGGCAGGAAAGTGCATGCCTTGGCTAACGAGCGGAAAATGAGTCAATGCAATTAGGCTTTATGGGACAACCGGTTCCAGAGGAGCCCTTTGCCAGCTGTCCTAGAACTCCATGTACTTTTCAGGATTTCCTCCATAGAAGCATAAGTTTTTTTGTAGATGCATAAGGAACAGATTGTCCATGACATTGCCACCAGCACTCGTCCATCCCCTGCACATCCCCACCTCCTGTCCCTGCTGGGGCATCCCTCACAGCCACTGCTGTGTTGCCGTCACACAGCCTCAACGGTGGGATTTGAGTACCGGGCGCTGGACCAAATCCACCGGTTCCTGGTGGTGTCCTCCCAGCCTGCAGCAGAAGGGCTGGGCCAAGGAAGGTGGGAGACCTTTGTCCCCAAACTCCGGATGGATGCTCCTACATCCGTTGCATCCTTCCTTTCCCTCTAGGTTGGCAGGAAATATTGTCCTTCCAAAGTGATTTACCAAAGGGAAATAATATGAAATATTTTGTGGACTCTGAGGCACTCCAGATTACACCTGAAAACTCCTAGAGTTCTTACCCTGTCAATTATACATTTAATAATTTTACATATAATAATTTTACATTTTCCCATTCAGCAAACATCGATGTTACCATTTCAATTTCTAAAGAAACTCAAACATAATGTGTTATTGCTTCAGTTACCCTGTTTGTGCTCTGCTGGTGTAGGGAGTAAACAGCAGCCCTTTGCAACAGGCTGAATTTCTAATTCGGGATACGCAAAGGTCTCAGACCTACTTACTTGCTGACCTTTTAATAATCTGGTTTACAAAATATCTAGGATTGTAAGGAAACACTAGCCTATACCATCCACTCTGTGTTTACCATTTATAGTAATTTTTAGATGTGTCATTCCAGACCGAATAAAACCGCGAATACAAAATAAATTCAATTAAAGCCACAGATGGAGAACTAACCCACCATGGATGGATGAACCTGCTGTGTTTTTCTGCCAGCAGCATTTGCACCAATACAAGGAATAATGTGCCATAAAAGCCCTGCAGCTTTATCCAGCCTGAATTATCTGGCTTTGTATTGTAGAACACATTAATTTCCAATTTTTAATTTTTTTATATATGCAGAGACCTAAGAAAAACCCCACAAAACCCAAAGTGTGTGTGTAGGAGCTCGGAGCCCTGTGCAGAGCTGCTGACGGCCCATGGCAGCAGATTGCCCGACTCCCTTGCTGTCCCCAGGGACCCACAGCCCCTGCTCCTGGCCACCGCGCTCAGGCAATCACCAGGTCCCCACTTGACAAAGGGACTGAGCACAGGCTTTGGGTTTTCGATAGAGGTGGGGAAAACATGGCCCTGCTTCTTAGCAAAGGAATTGCTGGAAACCCCTGGGTTATTTTTGAGTTTTCCCCTTTCTCAGGTGCTTGCAGTCGGTGCAGATGGGGACGTTTGCAACACACGCAAGGATGGGGACGTACTTAGATTTACCACCCGCGTGTCCCTCAGGCAGTGAAAATCTCTCATCTGCAAATTGTATTTTTCCCCAGCAGAGGGGGAGCTCGCTCTGATTAAAACTGTGGGTTTTTTCCCCCAGTTGCAACTGGAGCGAAATAGATAATACGCTTCTGAACAAAGCTGAAAATGAATTAAGGAAAGCTGCTGCATGCAACACGCTCTCCTGCAGAAGAGGATGCAGTGCATGATGAGGTGGTTTTGGGGTGAGCAGCAGTCAAACACCTCTGGTCCACTGCTCCCATAAAGATCAGAGCACGGAGAAACTTCATTTTCACTCTTGTCTTGGGGACTGGGTCACTCTAGAAGGAAAAACAAACCTAGCTGTTGAAGCAAAATCCATATTCTACTGGAAAAATAGCAAGACAGCAGAGATGTGTCACCAGAGTTTGTTATTTCCATATAATAAAAAATAATAAAAAGTACCGTCTCCCTTTTTCAGGTTGGCACAGGCGCAGGAGTTGGTTTCAACGTCAACATGGCCTTTACCGGCGGCCTCGATCCACCGATGGGAGACACAGAATACTTAACTGCTTTCAGGTAATATTGAAGTTTTCCTTTTACAAACATATTTTTCACCTAAACTGTATTTCTCTTTCCTCGTGCAGTCCTCCTTAATCTTGAGTTTCTCTCTTGCTAGGTTTAGAAAAATAAGATTTTGATCCAGTTGCGGTAACTTTTTGTGTGCCACGTGGAATAAAGGTGAATTAAGTAAATAAGATATTACTGGCCATGAGAAGTCAGTCTGTGACATTAGGGGGTTGACATACTGCTCGGCGCTGATGGATGTAAAATGTCAGCCGATGTGAATAAAAAAACTCTTCTGGTTTTGGCTAAAAATCTTTACCCCTTTGGGGTGAGAATTTCTATGGGCAGACCCCCCTGGCTGGGGAGAGGAACCCAGAAAAATGTTCTAACAAGTCCTCATGGGTTGAAACTTGAAAGCACAGCTTCCCCAAGGCTTGAGACATTGTCACTGCGATGCAGACGGTGGTACCCGACCCTGGGTGAGTTGGCTCCCACCCCAGCTCGCTCCCACGTGTGCCTGGCAAAAGGACGTGGGCTTGTTGTGATGAACTTCAGATTTTATGGTTATTCAGCCCAGGTATCGAATATGCCTCTTCCAACCAACCGGCAATTGAAATGACCAAACTGTTGGGTTTGTGCTTTTCTTACTGGGTTCTGGTTTCTCCCCAGAAGCAGCGTGTTGTGTGTTGTGAATAAAAATATAACCGTCTCTTAAAGAAGTGTTATTGCTCACTGTCAGAGCATGAAGGAAGGTAAAAGCAACACTGTGGAGGTGAAGTGAGTGAGCGTGTTGCTGGGGTTTTGATGAGCAGTAATAGCAGTGCCAGATCCCAGCCACTGTGCTGGATTGTAGAGCATGTTCAAGCGTGCTCCAAAGAACTGGCATTGGTTTAGTCCCCGAACAGAGCAGGGGACGAAGCCACTTGTTGACTCACTTGTTCACGTTCTGCTGGGCTTATTGACCTGCTCACACAAGCACACGGCGGCCGGAGGTCGCAGGGAGGTTTCTACAGGGTGGTTATACATCATTGGCATTTGGGGACTCGCTGCAAGCCTGAAGTGAGGCGTTTGCCTCGCCCAGCTGCGGAGAACAGGAAAAGGAAGGTATGAAAATTAACGATGGAGGCAACAGAAGAACAAGCTGAAGGAAAGGCAGATTTCTCTAGCTGGAGGAGAACTTGTCCGTGATGCCACAGGGTGTCGAGGCTGGTGTGAGACCACACTTTCCTTTTGATAGTCACTTCCAGGAGAAGGAATATAATGACCCGCCGCATATATAAGCTTCATTTTTCTTAGAGACCTGTTCCTCCCTGTTCCACCCCCTGCCTCCCCCCATGCTGTAGCTCCAGCCTCCCCAGTTGGTATCTTTTTTAATGATTATCGGTTGTACTGGTTTTCTGTCCTCAAACCAGATCTGGGGCACTTCTGGTGACCACCCCGCAGAAATTCAGGGAGACACAGGCTTGCCAAAACACGGGATGCGAATTTCTGGCGACAAGGCAGATGGAATATCGCCTTCAGGGAACAGCATTAAATCTAGGAGTGTTCTTTTCTGTTCTTCCCCGTGTGCACGTACTTCTATTCCGTTATACGAAGCAAAAAGAGTTTTTACTCCTCAGCCTGCTGTTAAAAAGCCTTCAAAGAATGAGTACAATTTAAAATAACATCTCATCAAATAACTCTCGTTTGTCTTGATGTTTTATTCCTGTTACAGGAAAGCAGCGCTTTCCTCCAAAGTGGAAGTCTGTTTATCCCAGCAGTCAACAAGACTGATCTCTTCATTTATAAAGAGAACCTGTAGCTTGCGATGGAGTGACACACTTGCTATTAAATATTAATTGAGTTTCAAGGCTCCTGGAAAATTGCTCAGGCTGCACAGTGAGACCTTTGCCAGCCGTTCCTTAATAGGTGCTGGTGTCTTTTTGCCCAGAGACTGCGGCTATTTGGGGAAGGTATTTTGGAACTGGTCACAGCTCTTATTCTGCCGGGGTTTTGGGATGTTGTGACTCATCCTCCAAGGTAGCACCTCCCGTTGTCTGCCCCATGTGCACACCTCCAGTCCATAAGTTACATTGGAAGCTTTTTTTTTAATCTTATGCCAAGTTTGGTCGTGATAATACATTATCAAGTGACCTTTTTAAATCCTAACCAGCTTCTTTGAAAAACATTTTTTTTTCCCCCTGAATCTTTCTATTGATTTTAATGTAAAATAATGCTTTGAAGTTTGCAATTTATAGTCCCCCGAGAGTTAGAAAGTGAAGGGAATGGGTCATATATCCTTTATTTTTTTTTTCTTCTTCTTCTTTTCTTGCATTAGCCCCTTGAGACAATGCATGCCTTCAAGGCAGCACCTTGTTATTCCACCCCATCGAATGCCACGTTGCATTTGCCGGGGATCAAACCGAAGATGAAGAAAAGATAAGAAAATTGGCCATAATGAACTCCAGAAGCAGCAGGCATTTTCACCATGAACTTGGAAACTCACAGTGGAGAATTGAGCTTTAATTCAAACCAGTCCAAATGCCAAACTGTGAGGCTTTGAAGTCTGTAGAGGAATCAGTGGAAATCCTTTGAGCTAGGCAAAGATACTGATATAGTTTTTCTTCTTTTTTTTTCCTTTTTTTTTTTTTAAATCTTAACTCTTCGCATGCTTGTCTGCTTTTAGGGAAGAAAGCCCCTTTTCTGCGTAAAACAAGCAGAAGAAAATAAGAAATGTGCTTTTCTTTTTTTTTTTTTTCTGTTTCAGGATGAGCTGGTCTATGGATTTGATAAAATCATGTGCTCTAATGAAGTAGTAACGGAGATAATTTTCCTCATAAATTCATCTTCTGATGAGTGAATAAATAAATCCCAATGAAACCTATCATCCCCAAACTGAAAACCTGTCTCAGTGTCCTTTTACTCTTCCCAAAGAAGGGACGGTAACTTACATCAATGATTTTTCTACTGAGAATTTCTTCTCCAAACATTGCCTTGCCCCTCTCTGCAGTACCGCGTCGGGTTGGACGGGATGGCCTGACCTCAAAATGTTGATTAATAGCGCCGAGCCCTTTCAAAAGTGAGAACAAGAGTTAAAAATGCGAAGCAGAGAGCAGCCTTGCCTTGCATTTTGTCACTTATTGTCCTCATAACCCAGGGCTGAAATCACTGACTGCCCTGTCTTGAGGTCAGGGTGATATCATGATTACTGAATTCTTGGGGGGTTTTTTTGGGGGGGAGCAGGGTGGAGTCACCCCCAGTCACTAGTAAGATGTGCAGAAGGGATTTGGGGAGTTTTGCTGCGAGTTTGGCGCTCCTCCACCCCATCGGAGCGGCGGCTCTGCCTGCCCGAGACGGCGTGACATTCGCAATTAGCTGACCGATGGCTGGGCAAAGGTCCCACGGCTGAACTCACCCCCAAAGCATGTGGGCAATACCGATTTCCCAGATTAAGCAGAAATGTATTCAACTCTAACGCGAAAAATGCAGGGCATATAATTTTAAAAGTCCTTAACTCATCAAAATGTTATTGGTGTTCATCGCTGTTATTCCGTAGTTATAGAAACAAACGGTTGTAAAATTTGGGTTTGTTTTTCTTTTTTTCTTTTTTCTTTTTTTTTTTTTCCCCCCCCCATCAGAGTCTGTTGTTCCCTGACTTGTTCTACAAGCAGAAATCACGTTTGCTTCTGAAAATCCTCATGATGTTTTCAAAAGCCTGGTGTGCAAACCCAGCTAAGAGAGCTGCAGGAAAAATTGCAAAGACTGTGGCTAGTTCCTTATTCCATGAGAACAATTACTTAGTGAAATTAAAGTGTATTATCCACAGGAGTGTTCCTCTAAATTTGCTGTAAGAAAGTTTTCCTGATGATTCTAACAGTTGTCTTGCCTCGTACAATTTTTTTTTCCCTACCCTGAGGTCTCCTCCACAATTATAATTCCATATACAGCTTGATTCCATGGGAGTTTTCTTTTTATTTAAAACACCTAAACCAGAAGCAAAAGCCAGGACTTATATTTGAAATATTGTATTTGAAATACTGGATTTGAAAGGTCCCTCCTCCTGCCTTCCTTGGAAAGCGTTAAATGAGTTCAGGAGCCAATTTTGGGTGTTTTTTGGGGTTTTTTTAACCTTCAAAACCATTTCAGGGGTGAGTAAGAGGAAGGGGGGGAAGTTGATGGTGTTTTGCCTGGAACAGTTGTTTCTGTATTTTAGATTTCATGCTCTCCTGACCCTGATTTAGTCCCCAACCTCCTAATCCCTTTTGACATAGTAAATGACCATGGATATGGCTGTTTGGAGAAACAAAGACTGGAGTCTTCAGGAGGCTGATTAGTCTTAGGAGCAGTGAATAACATTTTGGTTTACATATATATATACACACATATATATATGCACACATATATATGGCCAACAGTGGGGAAAAAATCTCTGAAAAAAGTGCTCAGCCTTCTAAGTTTCATCAATTTGCTTGCTGCAATTGAGCATTGAAAAAAAAATCCTCTGTAGGATTGTTTAATCTGCCTGAAATTTATTAGGCGCTTAATTGGTGAATTGGCTAGTAACAGACTCAAAATTATTCAGTCTTCTGGGAAATAGATATAAAATTGTATTTTTTTTTTCCCGCTTCCCCAATGATTGCAGCTCATGATCAGTAATTTTCACTCTTTGCAGCCCTCAGGATTGACTAACACAGAGCTGTTCAGCTCAGCTGCGTTTGGAATCAAACAAAAGGGTTTCCTTTATTTTAAGCATGAAAAAAAACCTTTAAAATACAGGAAATTTAAAGGTACCCCTTGTATTTTAAAAAATTCTGCATAGTTTGAATTAATATTCAGTGTTGTGAACTCTTTCATTCTTTGGTGAATAACTCTACTGCCACTTTAGGCATTAGTTAGAAGACCCATTTCTAGAGAAAACTGTTCACCGTCTTCATAGTAATTTGAATTTCTGGCTTTTTTTTTTATTCCCATCACCAGGGCAAAGCCATAGGATTGTTTACAGTTGAATTGTTACTTTCTTTTGGGGACTTAGCTTTACTGTGATGGATCTGAGCAAAGAGGCTGTTATAAAATGAAAAATTTTAAAATTAAAACCAAAAGACTGGGTTAGATGTGCCTGAAATGCTGCCCACAGATGAGATCTCAGAAATACATCATTAGAAAGCATTTTGTTTGCTTGGGTCTTCGCATGTGAGTCTCTTTTTATTTTGACAATTAAAAAAAGGAAAAATGAGGGAGGGAGTGCTGAGAGGCAGGAGGGCTTTGGGTGAAGTTTTATGGCCAAAGATCCAGCTGCTTGTGTACATGAAAAGCATCCAATAGAGCTGGGACTGCGGCGCTGGGGTCCTGGTGTTCTACTGGAACGAGGAGAAAGCCAGAAGAAAGAGCAAACCAGGAGAGTTAGAAGTCATGGGTGATGGAAAGGGTTCAAGTCTGGATTTGAGAGTGCTCTTGAATTTGGGTGGGTTTGTGATGGCCAAGGTACCAAAAGCATCGTTGGGTTATTTATTCTGACACCCCGTTATCTTGCACAGCCTCTGTCCAGGATGGGTGTGCAGCACCAATGGGACAGGCACACAGCACCCATCCCACGGACACGGGCTGTCTCTCTGTCCTCCCAGCTCCTCTTGGACAGGAGCCAAGGGACCTGGGACACATGTTTCTTCAAATTTGGAGGGACCTGATACAAATGTACTGTGCATACAGAGCACCACTAATAATCGCTCAGAAATTAAGGTGTTGGCAGGGGTTGCGACCATGTGGTCACCTCGTCCTGCACTGGAGGAAACTCTGGACATCCTCAAAACTCCTTCTTCTAACTAGTGTCAACTTGATTTACTTTTAAACAGCAACCACTGCCTTTTTTCTCACTAAAATTTATCCTGACAGGGTTCATGGTTAACTCAGTGTTGGCTGTGCTGCTAAAGGGTATCTTGGAACCGCTGTCACCACACGGGGACCTTCAGCCAAGCGTCACCAGCACTGTCGTGCTGCTCCCTTGGCCTCAGTTGAGTTGGGGCTTGGGCATCAGCTGGGTGAGCCCTACCATGGCCAAGAAACCGTTACCAGTGTGGGGTCGTGTGGGTTGCTTGGTGCCGACAGACCATGCACACAGCTCGGGAGTGCAGGTTGGGGTTCGCTCTGCAACCGGCTTGGGGTCATCCCGCGCATCGGTCGAGGGACTAGCAGCTCCCATTTTGGGAGGGGGAAAAATCTGATGATTTTAGTAGCTTTCCTTCGGTTGGAAATTAAAGAGCTCAGCAGGACTTCAAAGTTCAGGAAAAAGAAAGCCTCTGCCACATGCACTTGTGTTGAAACTGCTGCTGGAGGCCTTGATGAAGGAGATGGCTTCTGCTGAAAACCTCCGTGGGTTTCACAGGACAGATTTGGTCAACTGTAAAGTCATCAGCAAAAACTGCACTATTTTGTCTTCCTCATCTAATCGTCTCCCTGAGGACAAAACCATATGGCAAACATGTCATTTGATGAAAAAATGAAAATCTCTTGGATTTTGTAAGAATGAAAAGAAAATAAGATCCATGCATGGAGATCAGCAGGCAGGAAGATTGCAGGAGGCTCTTAGCTTACTGTGGCAATTAGTTAGCAAAAAATTAAAGCTAGAAGTTTGTGGGCTTTTGGGTTTTTTCTTTTTGATTGCATGATGTCTGAGTACCTTGACCAGGCCTGCGATGTGCCTGACATCCCTGACTCCATGGATCCGGCACAGGGACTCTGCTCAGCGGTGGCAATGGCAACTGCTCGATGGGTTTGGCCAACGCTGGAAGCAGCTCATTGTGTGGTAGATGTTAATACTTCGTTAAAAATAAACCCAGTGGAGGGCAAAATGATGTGAGCCTGGATGGGCGTTGGGGCTCATACCAGTTGCTGACACTAGCAGATGTCTTGTGGCTGTGTAACGTCCTTGTAGCGAGCAACACGGATTTTTATGGGTGTCTTGATAGCCCTCGAGTGATCTTGGCACTAAACGGACCTTCCTGGGCTCTTTCTGTGTTTCAGAGTATCGCATAACCATAGTACTGAGGAAAGGTGAAGTTCTTGGGTACACAAAGGTATTGACAGGTTCATGCTTTGGTATATGAATTGACTTCAGTTCATGCTTTGGAAAGTTAACCCTACCAGAAGCTGTTTGTGGGACAGGGAAACAGGGAAATAGTGTTGTCTTCAGGGCCAGCAAGGGTAGGCACTGGTCAGGCTGCCCTATGGATACATCCAAGGTTCAGTGTGTATGTTTATTGTGGAAAAAATGAGTATGATTTGGAAAATATTACTCTATATAAAAGCCAATCCTCTGTGTACATCCTTCAAAAAAAATTTTCAAAAAAAATTCAAAACAAGTTTCGAGCCCATGCGGGTGGGCACCCCAGTGCAAAGCGAAGGCAGGAGAGGTGGTTCATCCAAGAGTGCTGCCAGCAGGCTTTTGTCATCAGAAAAGATCATGGGTGTCTGCGTCACGTTAGTAAGAAGGTCTGATGCTTTGACTTTTTTTCCTTGCTGTAATTTCAGTTCTGCCGTGTTTGTGCTGGAGCAATCGGACGGCGAAGCACCTGCTAAGCTTAGTTTTCCAGTTTTGCTTAGTTGGCATCTTGCTGTGGGAGATGGGGTGTTCGCAACCTCCTGTAGGTTTTGAACAGAAATGGAGTAGACTGAAGAGAGAAAACAGAGGGAAAGGCCTTTTCCTGAGAAACCACAGAGCTAGACCTCTTCTTTTATTTCAATACCAGCCTTACCAGGCAGGAGTTTATGGATGCTAAGCAATCCAGTCCTTTTTTTTTTTTAGTGAACAAAACGTTTGAGGATGTGGAGCCAGGGTTTGGAGAGGTGTATTTGGGTGGGATATTGGCTTATTAAAGCTTTTTGCCCCATGTGACATCGTCTGCCTTTTGTTATGGTAAATGAGAAGTGCAGCAAGGAAAAAAAATAAGATTAAATTCTGCAAAGGCTAAAGGAGATGTTTCAAAGGAGTGCATGGAGACAAGTGCCACAAACCGAGGTTGTGTTGGACAGGTTTTCCCGGTGGTTTTACAGCCTGTGCCAGTTGCCGTCTTCTTTTCTCCTTATCCCTTTGTGCCCTGGACATAAAGCAAGATATGATCATAAATGGGAAATACAATGTATGGCAGCTTATTTCCCTGGTCAAGGCTCGAGGCTGTTGATGGAGGAATTAATAGACCTCACTGGAAAAAAATAATGTCAGTTATTTTTTATACAAGGCTCTCTCACCTTGCAAGAAAATAGGAGATGGGCTTTGCTTCTGTGGAATAAGAGTCCAAGGTTTTATAACAAGTTTGTTCAAGATGGTTTAAGTCTTCCTGAGTTTGTTCAAGAGCCAATATAACGTGTCTGCCACTGTTCAATTTTCGTTGCAGAACGGTAGTCATGCCCATTGCCAATGAATTTGCCCCAGATGTTGTGCTGGTGTCATCTGGTTTCGATGCGGTGGAAGGCCATCCCACACCTCTTGGAGGATATAATCTCTCAGCAAAATGTAAGTTGGGGGTTTACAAGAGCAGAGATCTAAAACTGGTGTAAATTGCTGCTGTCCTAGGGACTGAAGTACAGGTTTTACCTTTTGGGGTCTATCTTCAAATCTTTCGTTTCCATAGCAAACTTTTCAGCCTCCTTTTTCTTTGTGTTTTCATGTGTTTTATCACTGCACCGTGTGTAGTTGGGTCTGGCTGAAGCCTTCGTTGTCTTGAAGCATTGCAGCTTTCAATTCCGAGTAAATTATGTCAGGAAATGACAAAGTCGTTTGTAGTCCCATCTCTGCAGCAGACAGCTGCTCAATTAGAGTTATGCTCATTTTAATCCAAAATTGCAGAAACAGGCAATGCCAGATACAAACAGTGTACCTTGCTCTGAATGCTAGCAGAAGTCCATTTCTTCCTCCAGGATCCCTTATGAAAAATTCAAGCTGAATATTTTTATTCTCCACCTTTCAAGCAATTATGCCGGCCCACAAGAGCCTCCTTTTTGCTTTGGATCCTGGATGTTTTGCATTGCACAGGAGATACACTGAAGTTTTTTCCTCCCTTCGGTTACACTGGGTTTGTCTGGCACTGTTTCATTCCAATGGATCGAGGAGAATGTTTTTTTTTTTTCTTGCAAAAGGATTTTATTATTAGGTTTTTTAAGAGTTTACTTCAGCCAGGAAACTTACTCTCTACATCGAACCTCAGAACCTCGTAAGGTAGCTGAACCTATAAACTTTATAGAAGAAGAAAGTGAAATAGATTTACAAGAGACAAGTTATTTCAGATATCCAGAAACACTTTGTAATGAGAAGCTCTTGTTTACCTGCTTGTTGAATTTCCCATGCTCTGCTACTCTCGCAAAACAGTTACGGGCACGACCGTGAATCTTTTTATCTGGCCGTTAATTTGCCAGTTTGCAGAAGCACTCGCGGGTGTCATGAGACGCTGCAAAAGAAAAAGCAGGGAGGGTGGACGGAGGGTTGAAATGCATTGGATTTTCTTTTGTTTGGATTTTTTTTTTTTTTCGGAGGGGGAAGGTTGCTTTGAGGACACATTTTTTTCAATCCTCACGGCTCGGTTCTGTTTTGTTTAAAGGGTAGAAATGTATTGTGTGTCATCTGATCAAAGTGCCGGGCGCCCCAGGAATTTTTATAGCGTATTATATAGGGGAAGAAACGTCTGGTAAGAACTAGATGTCAGATATCTTTGGGGCACTGTGATGCTGCTATCGCAACTGAAAGCACCGGCAACAATTTTACTGATTTCCCCTTCCCCTCCTCCCTCCCCCGTGGCTGCTCTGCCTTTGCATCTTCCAGAGCCGCGCAAAAAGCAGCCTCCTTCCACCTTTTTTTTCCTTCCTTCCAAAGGAAATATTGGCTGCTGTATTTAATTCAGGGTGCTGGGGGGTGGCAGGAGGGTTGTGCGGTGCTTCTCACCTGGGATAAACTCCAGCGAAGCGTTCCCGGGGGAAATACAGATCCATCTTGCGGCACAAGCCAGTCCAGTGGGGAATCGTAGCTGGAACCCTGCAGCCAGTGTATTAAAATCCAACCTGGCTTATATTATGTGTTGAGTCCTTTCAGATCCCTTGTGGTTTTTTTAATATGATGTAATTCCTTTCTCTAATTCTTTGATCCTTTGCCAGGAGCCTGATTCCAGCCGCAACCTTTGCCCTTCTCTTGCATTTCCTTTTTTCCCTCGTTACAGGCTTCGGGTACCTGACGAAGCAGCTGATGGGCCTGGCCGGGGGTCGCATCGTCCTGGCCCTCGAAGGAGGCCACGACCTGACTGCCATTTGCGATGCCTCGGAAGCCTGTGTTTCTGCTTTGCTGGGAAACGAGGTACAGAGACGGGCAAAACTGGGAACCACAACCTCCAACCCCCCTTGAATTTGGGCATCTCATCCTCCAAGAGAGTCAATCTGACAAATTGCTGTCGTTGTTTTGGGTCCTTTTGACACATGATGACTTAAAGTGTGCATGCATTGTTGTTTTTTTTTTAAACTCCCTGTGTTTGGCAATCTGTATTATAGGGATTGAAATCGCGAAGAATTGAATTTGAGTTTATTCTTTATCCAAAGAGTTTGCTTTGTGCTCTTTGGAAAACAGCTAATTCATTTAATTTCTTTCTGAAGTCGTCCTCCAAGCCTTCCCTTCTCTTTGCAGACCCCCTCTCTAGTACTACAGCCTGTACCTGCTGCATTGGACAGCGTCTTGGTTTTGGTTGTGTTTTTTCCTTGACATTATATTTTCTACCTTCTGCAAAGGGCTGCGTTGGAAAAACCACAGCTGCGTCACCGAAGTTGGCCAGAAAGGCCACAAGACAAAAGTACACCGAGGAAATCTACTTTTTGGGTTTTGAGGAGGTCAGGGTATTTTCCTACAGAGGCAGATACTTCAGCTTTTCTGCCTTTGTTTTTCTGGGATGAAGGAGGAACTGATTGAGATTCCCCGTGCCCATCCTTCTCGCTGCAGCCCAGCCATCAGCATCCGCTGGAGCTGGCACCACACGGGCAGCTCACACCTACATTTCTTCCAACGTGGTTGATAATTAAAAAGTTCATTGGTGGCATTTGATATGTCTTTGGCTAGGGGAGTTCAAGGTCATGTGCTGCAAAAATAGGGCACCAAGGAAATACAGAAATTAATTACCAGCAGCAAAATCTCCTGTGCGCCTGCTATGTCTGTACCTTCTGCAGGCACTTCTGTTCAGGAGGTTTTATTTCGCTATAGTTTATGGGATTTCAAGTACGAACAACTGGTTAGTTTGGGTCAGGCCTTCCTCCTTCTGGTTCATTTCTTCTCGCTGGACACCTTTTCTTCAAGTGGAGGATAGAATCATAGAATCACAGAATGGTTTGGGTTGGAAAGGACCTTAAAGATCATCCAATTCCACCCCCCTGCCATGGGCAGGGACACCCTCCATTAGCCCGGGTTGCTCAAAGCCTCATCATGTGGATGACCACAGTCCAGATGGTTGAGCCTCGGATGGGCACAGCAGGCTGCAGAACTGCCTCGCGTTGGTTTTCCGCCTCGCTCGGAGAAGCAGGATGGCAGAAATTAAACCAAGAGTGCAGTGTGGTTTCTTAGGCTCCAGACAGCTAGAAATGTCAGCCTTTGGGGAAGGCAGCCACCTCGGTTTGAAGCTGGGGGTGGCTGTGACACCCCCTCGGGTGGCATTAATGGCTCGGGCAGTGTGTTTGGATTTTTTTTGGCTGCCTCTTTAATTAAGAGATTGCCTTCCTCAGTACCTTGTGGAAAGGAGGAAATCTCCAAAAGCCACAGCAAGAGTAGGAGGACACGAGGAGCCTGCTGAGGTGACCTCTGGTAGAGCAGACCTCCACAAGCAGCAGGGTCTGTCCCGAGGAGAGAAATCTGGCTGCCCATCAGACGGTGAAGGAAGGAGGTTCCTCCTAAAGCTTCCACCCACCTTGGAGAGCACAGCTGGGGTCTCTCATCACCACCCTTTGCTGAAGCAGCCCGTGGTACAGGAGCTGGTATGTCAGCTCTGGGTCTGCCTCCATGGGAACTGCCTTCTGGGGACGCTGGGGACCTGCCATCAGCAGCCTCGCTGTGACTCCCGGCTGCAGTTGGGTCACCACCAGCCTTTCTCAGGTCTGGCAAGTTGGAGCAGAGAGCTCGGACCTGCATGGAGGTGCCGATCAGCTATGTTTGACTTCCAGCCTTTTGGAGAAGTGCTCTGGCTTGCAGTATCCACACGCCACGCAAAGGTTGACAGTGCCTGGGGAAAGCTCCCTGACCGCTCTGAGAGAGAAAACAGCTGGGATGCATCAAAAGCATCTGCTTCAATCATCCAGCATCCCATCTCCAAGTGTCCCGAGAGCATCCGCTCCTTGTGCGTGGCCGGGCGGTGCTGATAAAGCTCTTGGAGTAACTGATCCAGCATGCCAGCCCTCGGGACAGCCGAAAACTCGGGACCCACCTGCTACATCAGCATGGAATCTTAAGCTGACAGCTGATGGCACTGTTGTCACCGCAGACGATTCCTCCAGCTCCATCCACCGTTGGGTGCAGGCGGCTCCAATGGCAGGATGGGCTTTGAAGGGGAGACAGAAGGAATGATGCGGGAAGGATGGCATTCCTCTTGCTTAACGTGCTCCTACAATGCAGGCGGGTGACTGCGGTGTGGTGTGAGGATCTGCATGCCATAAATAAGCACTTGATCCGAGCCATGAACACGTTTGGAAGTGCTCTTGGGGGAGATCTTGGCACTCCTGATAGCTTGGGTGTTGTCAGCTGACTGAGTGTTTTCATTTAGCAGAGTGAATATTGATCCTTAAAAGTAAAAAAGTTTGGTTTTTTTTTTTTTTTAAATCTCAGAATCAGGACAGCTATAAAATACTTAAAGACGGACCTGTTCTCACTTTTCCTAGGTGGGCTCTAAGGCTGTGCAGATATCATGATAGCGTTCTCTGCCGCGCACATCAAAAAGCAGGAAACGCTAGTTTTATCAAGGTCTTTTATAAAATATTTTTTAATGCGAGGAAGTTGGAGTGAACCGCTGTTGCTTTGTCCCGCGGCCCTTTGATGAGGTTTGATCTACAGCGTGTCAGACAGTTTTGCGTGCGTGCAGATGGACAGCCAGCTGCAGCCGGCGACTGGCTGCAGGGAGGTTTGCTGGCGGTGCCGGAGTTACACGGGGAAACGATCGGAAATGAGGGGAACAGTGCCAGTCCCCAAAGCGTCTGCCTTCACCAGTGGAGGTCAAAACTCCTGCTTTGGAAAAAGCGTGATGCAAAAGCAAGAGCCAGCTTGTTCCCAACTATCCAGGAAATTAAAACAGAGCTTTAGCTTTGCAGCAGATTATTTTAATGGGAAATGAGTTAGGGGCGGGTGAGGTTGCTTGAGAATGTACGTACGCTGCTTTAGTGACAAATTTACTTGTGCAGAACTAACACGTACGTCAGCTGAAAAATCAAAGGCGGGCATGATGCAGGGAGGGTCTGCTGATGACAATTTAGACCAGTAAGCCACCGTACCTCTTCCGTTACTCGAAGCAGTCCGTGCCAGCAGTGCTGGAGGACAGAGGAGGCAGCGACCCAGCAAAGCTGCTGTCATAGTTTTACCGAACACAGCTGCTCGCTCACCCTCCCTCCCCCTCCCCAGGGATGGGGGAGAGGATTAAAGGGGTGAATGGGAAAGAGACTCGTGGGTTGAGATAAGAACAATTTAATAACTACAATAATATTGGAAATAATAATAATAATAATGGTAATACATACAAATATATGAATGAGTGACACACAGTGACACTGCTCACCACTCGATGACCAAGGCTCAGCCTGTTCCCCGCCAATGATCCTGGAGCAAGGAGAGTCCTGAAACCACAATCCTGGAACGGAGATAAGAGCTCAACTGTCTGAGAGACCAAGACAACTCTAGAGAGGGGTGACCTGGAGGGAGATGGCCCAGAGCAAGAGAGAGAGAGCCCCTCTGGACAGAGCCTCACCTCTCTCCTGGCCATGCCGTGCATGATATGGAACAGACCATCGGCCAGTTGGGGTCTCAGTCCTAACCCTGAGGTCGAATCCTGGGCTGGTCACTGGGGCTGTGCTCCCTCCCAGCTTCTCCTGCCCCTGCAGACATGGGCACAGCAGGGAAGCTGGAAAGTCCTTGACTGTCCTGGCAGCAGCTCTGCCCATCAGTGTGTGATCAGCTTCTCCTCAGCACAAACCCAAACAGCCTCACACTGGCTGCTGTAAGAAAGTTGACTCTGTCCCAGCTGAAACCAGGACAGCCATTTGCTCCATCATTGGGTATCACCAGCCTTTACTCTTTAAACCATCTTGGCAAATGCTATTTGTGAACTTTCTGTTCCCAGGGAGCGATGCTGCTGTTTAAGCTCCGGGATATCCATAGCATTCCCTGCCCCAAGCTAGGACCCATGCCAGCACTGTGCCTGGAGCGGGCTGCAGAGCTCCTGTGTCATGGGAGCTGCTGATGGCAGGGAGAGGGATAGTGTGTGCTGGGAGACGTGGTCTTGGAGCTCGGCAAGCACTCAGTCGTTTTTCACGCAGAAGCAGCTGAGGTGTGTCCGGTGTCAGAGTGCGGACATCCCGAATAAACAAGACGATGATAATAAGCAGTTGCTTCTAACCTCTGCCTAATGCCCAGAGGTATTTCCTTCCTTTTCCAGGAGAGCGATGGGCGAGGCTGTTGTCTGGGAGTGTTATTTCAGGAGGAGGAGTGTGCTGTGGAAATGGTTCACACATGTAGCCGGGCTGCCTGATGTTGCGTGTTTAATATCAGTATCAACCGAGAGGCATTAGAAAGCTCTTACTTAAAGATTTATGCAGGAATTAGTTTTGCCTTCTCTTAATGTCCGACAGAAGCCAGAATTATTTTTAGAGTGGAGAATTTATAAAAAGTGCAATCCGTAATTATTAAATCTGGAATGGAGCAATTTCTGGTCCTCGTGAAGTACCTCTGGAATGGCTGCCATGTGGTCACAGGAGCAGATCTCTTGGCTGGAGCTTCTCTTGGCTTTGAACAGAAGTTACAGTTAAACTTTTCCTTTTTTTTTTTTTTTTTTTTTAACTGTTAAACTGTGGCTGCTTCTTTGCTGGGGACTATCCCTGGATGGGCCTTGACTACTATTTTCAGACCCAATTAATATCTCTTGGTCTGGATGCCCAGCCTTGGAGGTCTGTGATGAATTCACGATCTTTGTGGAGAACCAAGGAGGGGGGAAAAAAGAAAGAAAAAAGATGGGCTTGGAGAGCATCACCTCTGCTAGAAGTTTTTTCTTGAGTCTTTAGTTGGTTGTGGGGTGTCTTGTCGGAGCCGTGCCTGCGGAGTATTGCTGTGCTGCTGTTGCCAAAGGATGGCAGGAGCCATCAAAGGACCAAAAAAACCCCAAACCAGCAAACTAATAATAGCGTTAGCTGCTTTTGAGCCCAAGTTTATTGCCCAGTGGGAATTGAATCAAGCATCAATTGATGTTTGATTATTACAACAATAAAAGGTTTAATAACTTCATAAAGGGCAAAGGGGACAGCTTTAGCTTTTCAGAGGACAGTTGTCTCAAGGTGAGAGAAGTCACCCAATCCAAGAAGGTGTTCTCCTCTTCTTGGGTTTATTTTTTAAAGGAAAGCAAATAAAAACTAAACCAACCCCCCAGCAGCGCTGTGGGGAGCCTTTCTCCAGGAGAGAGGACATGCGTGCTCCCGATGCAGAACAGACTTTGCTGGGGATGCGACCCCGTGGTCTTGATGGAGGAGGACGTTGGAGGCTCCTTGTCTTTACTGGTGTTTTCTATCACCAGAAGAGCCCTGGCTTGCTGCTCTGTGGCACCCATCTCCCGAACAAGCAGAGTAAAAAGTACTACGAAGAAGGATGCAGTTTTCAGAGGGCTGATCTAATTTCTTTTTTTCTGTACCAACCAAGGGCTGCTGGGTCTGGAAGGGGTGTGACAGAGCTTTCTATCAGGCGAGAGGAAAAGATCTAGAAAATAGGAGGAAACACCATCAGGCAGGGAGAGGACATTAATCTTGCTCTCCCCCTTTTCTCATTCTCACTCCTTTGCCCTGCCCTGGCTGCCAGAGCACTTTCATGCCTTTAAAAATAAATGGGAAAAGCAATGTCCTGCATTGCTGAAGGGAGCAGCGGCATTATTGTCCGTCGGTCACCATAGATGCATTTGTCCATGCAATGGTGAACTGGATCCCCTGAGCGTTTTGTAACCTCCCGACTGCAAACCCAAAGGGAGACTCTCTCCTGGGTGGTAGGAGAGCTTGCATCCAAAAACAAGCAATGTGCACATACGCCTAGTTCGGACGTTAGTTTTGTATTTAGCAAGTCTCAAGCCTGCAGAAGTTTTTTGCTCTTGAGCGCTGAGGAACGGTTTGATTTCTTTATTTAAAGCAGCTGTGCCAATCAAAGCGTGCTCTCGGTGGTCTGCGTTACCGTGAATTGCCAGCACCGCTCCATCAGCAGCGGCGTGTGCTCCCGGATCCATGCACCTGGGTGGCCCAGACCTCTAACGGGGACGTGGCTCCGGTGGCAAAACCACCTCCTTGACAGGACACCTTATGTCCAACCACAGGCTGGAGTAGTCTGTCCTGGCAGCAGTGCGGGTTTGCAGGTGGGAACCGCATCCAAACCATCCAGCACCCCGCTGCCCGGGTCGGTTCCATTCCCTGGCTTTTACGGGCAGATCCACACCACAGAGCTCTGCTCTGGTGTAACTGGAGGAGGACTTAGAGGAACAATTGGAGAAGGACTTAGAGAAGCTTCTTTCAAGTGGCGTTTCCTAATTCATCTCTCTCTAGCAAAACAAAGATACTCTTACTGTCCCATGGTCCTTGTTGCATGATTAGTGCTTTGATTTATTTTTTTTAAACAGCTGGTAACAAAGGCAGCACTGCTTTTTTGAGGGTGGGATGTATGTTAGAGCGAACCAGGGATTGTCTACATGCTGTTTGCATTTAGAGCATTAAAGCAACCAAGCCCAGAAAGATTCCTGCTTGTTATGTGCATTTACGCTGGACATTTTTGTGAGGCTTTGCATCACCTTTTAGCTTGAAGTCTCAATACCAGCAGCATGTTCTTCCTGTCACCTTTTTGTATAATGAGCAGAGAAGAAAAGCCAGCATCAAAAAGCCTCAATTTTAATACTCAATTGTGATCCTTACCTGGTAACTTCAAGGCAAAATTTTTCAAGATTTATCATACATCCCTAATGCCACTCTGCTCTGGCAAGACTAGCCCAGCAGCTGATAAGAGGCATCGATGGTGGCTGAAGTCATAGTCATGCTGAGTGCGGCTTTAAAGCAGCGTTTTGCTGTTTCTCTGTACCAAAATCAGGCTATTTCATCTTAGGGTACAGATTTTTTCAGTTAAGAGTTAATAAATACATTGAATTAGGCATTTAGAAGAATTAAAAAGCTCCCTCTTTTATTTCTTTCAAGGAAAACCGTTATCATATTTTAAAGTCTCTTTTATTTGGACGTTGGTTTGTTTTAATAGTGAAAACTTTGCAAAAAGGTAGATCCGAGCAATAGTTTATAAAGATGCATTGAAAAAGCAGACTTATTTTTCTGGTCTATGTACAGTGCCTCTTCCTAGGCTCTGTTCGGCTGCTGAGCCCGGCAGAGCTGCAGCATTTTGTACATGGAGGAGCATGGGGCTGGAGGAGGCTGCACCGAGTATCGCAAGAGCACTTAGGAAGTCTGGATATTTTGGATATTTAACTACAGGCAGATAATAGGAATCAGGGGAGGGAGGTGGAGGCTTCATACAGCAGAGCCACCTGCTAAATCGCTCTCAGTCCATGGTCTCTAACTTGAGATAACATTTCTGCCGTGTTCCTCTCTCTTTCCAGCTTGAGCCTCTTCCAGAAAAGGTTTTCCAGCAGAGAGCAAATGCCAACGCGGTGCATTCAATGGAGAAAGTGATCGAGATACACAGTGAGTATAGCCCTGCTCACCCAACTGTCTCGCTGTTGGGTTGCCCTGTAGAACACCCGTTTGCCTTCTCCGTCATCCTGGCAGGTCCACATCCCCTCGTGCTGGTGGTCACTGCACCGTGGACTGGATTTGTGCAGGCACAAGCTGCTTTTATTGTGCGAGCATGTATCCAAGCGGTGCGCATGGAGCGGCCAGTTCAGGGAGATGCTTTGGCCCTTGAAGAGGAATTAGTATAAAAACCTTTAAAATCTGTAAGGGACAGGCTGTCCTGCACTCAGAGCATGCCCTTATCTCCTCAAAAGCAATTCAAGTATCTCAAATTAACGTAAATCCTGTTGGGTGTTGTGGTATCCGTTAATTAAGAACGGATGGGGCTGAAAGTTAAAAAGAGTATTGCATGAAGTTGCTCATGTTGTAGGTTTTTTTAGTGGGGAGGTTGAAGTCATTCTAGTTGAAGCTTTCCTGGAGATATTCTTGGGGGGTGTAATGAAAGAGCTTGAGCAACATGGGAGCAACACTGCTAGGTCCTGACATCTGCCTGCTTCAAAGGTTTATGGTCTAAAAGCGGAAGGTGCTAGTCTCCATTTTATAGGGCAAAAATGGAGCTTACAAAGATGCCAAAGCATTATTGGAGAAGTGAAGGTATTAGAAAGAAATATTTTCCTGTGCGGGTGGTGAGGCAGTGGCCCAGGTTGCCCAGAGAAGCTGTGGATGCCCCATCCCTGGAGGGGTTCAAGGCCAGGCTGGATGAGGCTTTGAGCAACCTGGGCTGGTGGGAGGTGTCCCTGCCCATGGCAGGGGGGTGGAACTGGATGGGCTTTAAGGTCCCTTCCAACCCAAACCATTCCGTGATTCTATGTTTGGAAACAAGTCCCTCCTCCCCATCTGCTGGCCTTGCTGTCCAGGTTCTTGCTTTCGGGCTTCACTGTGGCTTTTTGGGTACCAACAAATTCAACGTATCCTGCCCAGAGGCCAAGAGAACATCCTTTATTCTCTCCCTCTGAAGCCTTCACTGTGCTCTTCTTCTGCAAAAGGCTGGCAAACTGCCAACATACAAAATAAATACAACTGAGACTTCTTTAGACTTAGTGAATTTGCCCCCAAAAGGAATATGGCGGTTAGGAACTGAATGGGGATGTCCAGTCCAAATCTGGACTGCATCCTTCCCTCTTGTGTATTTTTCCTTAGATCTAAAAGTTTCTGAGGGGCTTGAAGTGAAAATGTTGTGATTTTTGGAGCACCGAAGTGTCCCCTTCCATCAAGGCTGTGCCCCTCTGTACAGTTAGATCCCCACCTTCATCACCCCTTGCACACTGGTCCTTTTAAAACCCCAGTTTCCACCTCCCGCCTTTCTTCCCCAGCCTGAGGAGAGGAGTGTTTTTTATTGCCAGACAGTGATTCAGACCCAGTTTGCCATCCTGGATGTCCTTAAGGGATGCACAGGTGCATCCTTATCAACGCTCTTGATGTTTTTTGGATTTAAAAATCACGCTTTTCAAGGCACAGCAGTGTAGCAGTACCATCTTTTACTACAGCAGTGTGGTGTAGAGCTCCCAAGGGTGTCTCTGGCCTTGCCTTGGAAGCTGGGGCTCATTCCCAGGAACCTGTTCCACCTGCAACTCCATCCACAGCCCTCAAGATGGTCCTTGAAGTGAGAGGGGAGCACGGATCAAGGTTGTGTGTTGCATAGGTGTGATGAGTCTTTCCCCTGGCAGGTCTCAGCCGTCTGTTGGCTTTAGGAAGGCAGGAGCGCAGTGCTGGGGCTGGGATGGTGCGGGTGCCCTGATCGCCTCTTCTCTCCACAGGCAAGTACTGGCATTCACTCCAGCGTTACGCCTCCACGGTGGGGTACTCCTTGGTGGAGGCGCAGAAGTGCGAGAACGAGGAGGCTGAGACGGTAACAGCCATGGCGTCTCTGTCCGTGGGCGTGAAGCCGGCTGAGAAGAGGTGAGTCTCCTTCCTGCCATTATCATCGCATCATGACCAGCAGGTCAAGGGAGGGGATTCTCCCCCTCTGCTCCACTCTCGTCAGACCCCCCTGCGGTGCTGCACCCAGCTCTGGGGTCCTCAGCACAGGACAGACACG